ATATGGGATGAAATCGGATAGGGATGAAATCGTTTAGGGATGAACGAGTTTAAGAGTTTTTAAGAGTTTTAGCCAAATGCTTTATATGATAGTATATATATATATATAAATATAAATAAATAGAGAGAGAGAGAAATAGTTTGTTTCAAATACAAACATCACATTTGTACAACCAATGTAAACCAATATATTGAGATATTTATGGAAATGATGAGAGTTCATTTATTATGATTTGAATATATTTATGGAAGATAAATATGGTTCATTAATTATGATCGATACTTTATATTAGGAAACAATAAAAACTTCTATGAAATCACATATTAATCAAATGAAATGGACGGTTGAGATTATATTGTATTGGTTGCACAAATGTCAAGGGTTGTATAATAACCAACATTTATACATATATATATATATATATATATATATATATATATAGGGGCCTAATCAAATGAGAACTAATTAGTTTGTGGTAACCGTGAGGTCCAATCTCAACCACAAATCAACAGATAAATTATAAAAATTTTAATTTTGGTAATTTTTAATTAAAATTTTAATGCAAGGGTATTTTAGGTATTTTCTGTCCTTTCTCCTATCTCCTCTCTTCTCTCTCCGTCCCAGTCTTTTGGCCACCGTCCTCCGGTGATACCACAGTGGTATCACAATGCATCATATATGTGATTGGGTATCACACTGTGGTCGTTTGTGCGGTCGATCGGATATGTAACACAGTGGTATCACAAAGTATCTTATATATGCTTGAGTATCACATTGTGGTATCACCGGAGGACGGTGGCCGGAAGACTGGGATGGAGAGAGAAGAGAGGAGAGAAATTACCTAAAATGTTCTTGCATTAAAATTTTAATTAAAAATTACCAAATTTATAAATTTTCTTAATATATGATATATGATATAGAAATTAAAAAAAATGGTGAAAGATGCTCTTAATGGGATCATGTGGGGACGACAAACAAGGACTTCCTCATGTCTTTATGCTTTGAAATACAAGGCTCGAAACATGCGATTCGATTTGAAACGTGACAAAGTTCCAAATATTAAATTTGATATGTTTTATTTTTGTCAAAAAAAAAAAAAAAACGAAGATATGTTCTTTTTTCTCGATCATGCGGGAGACATGTTTAAATCCTTCAGCCGTTGATAGCAGCGGAGCCAAAAAATTTATCTAACAAGAGCCTAAAAACAGTGTGATAAGGGTTTTTTGTGAGACCCGTAAGACCAATTTATTTTCATTGATCAACTTTATAAGCTAATGATCTAATTGTCTAAAGTTGTACGGTGACAATTTTGTGATTATTGAAAAGTCTAATGTCAATTTTGTGATTATGAATATTTAGATTGTAGATCTAATACTTTCACATATATAGTTTACAAGGGACGTGTTCTGTATGAGAAGAGGCGAGTAGATATTTGATAATAAAATTAATTGCTTAAAAAATGATTAAAAGATGGTATAATGAGTGGATTGATTCCAAATACTTACCGGCTGAGCATCCTCCCTCTTCAACCATACATCCACACCAAGCCGCGCCGACAGCTTCGTGGCGTGTTGCAGCGGCGACTCCACCGCCACGTCATAAACTTTCGACGTTAATATACCGGTTAAGTACTCCATTGGACCAACCGACGACTCAGATACACCACCGTCCGGCACCGCTCCCACCATACCTTGTTCATACTGCAAAGAATCCGGTGAGAACTCTAACAATGTCTGCGGCGGAGGTGGAGCTGGAGCAGCAACAACGCCAAGGGTGGCTTTAGGAGAGTAGGAGTTTGCCGCGGGTCTGGACATGGCAGTGACGGAGAAGATCACCGGAGGCTGCAGTCTTGTTTTGGCGCGGAGGAGAGGCAGTGGAGGTAGGTTAGAGATAGCCGCCATTGGAGGTGGGTGGTTGTGACGGTGGTGATGAGGGTGAAGTTGAAGCTTGGTGGATCCTTTTAATTTATAAAGGCAGCGATTCAAGGAAGAGAAAGAGGTGGTCACTCAGTGTCATTTCCCGTTAAAATAAAGGTTTTGGAGATTTAATATATATTATTTACAAGGGTCAAATCTGTAATTTACTCTTAAACTATATTATATTTTTGTATTTTTGTGTATTTTATATTTTATATATTATATTTTATATTATACTTATAATTATTTGAACATTTTATCTATTTACAATTTATATTATATACATATTATATTTTATATGTTTATAAATTATTTATACTTTATGTATCTATAAATTATATTATATTATATCTGTGTTTTATAAAATTATATTTTGTATTTATAAATTATATTTTGTATTTATAAATTATATTTATATTTTATGTAATTGAACCCTCCACCAATACAATTTAAATAGTGATTTGAATTAGTATTTGAAGCATAAATTCCGTGATGAGATTATGCAAAATTGTAATTTATATATTTAAGGGTGTTTGGAATTATTCATAAAAATAATTTATTGACTTATTTTGATGTGACACCGATATTAAACACTTTCGAGTGTTTGGATAAACAACTTATACCCGTGCAAAACCGATAATAAGAAGTTAAACCCTTCTGACAAGTGAGAAACGTTAGGGACCAAATCCGAATAGAAACGAATACAAACCACTTGTTCTCAAATCCTCTATCACCAATCACTTAAATATATATATATATATATATAATTTTGTTTTATTTCATTTAAATTTAAATTAATCTTTTTATTATTATTATTATTCTTAAGAAAAATGATGTGGTTGGTGACAAAAGAGGAAACATGAGATTTATAAAGCCAACAAATTCATATTCAAATGGCTGAATGTAAACAAACCAATCTTGTCCTTTCAATTAAGTCTTCTTTCTAATGGTAACAATAATCACTTGCTTTTTAGGTCTTTTATTATTGTTGTTCGCTCTCTGGTTAAACAAATCGTTTCAAAGACCCAAATATAGAAAAATGGTGGTCCTATAATTCCGTCACTTTATCTGATGATTTCAAAAAGACTGTAAAACATGGTCTTATTAAATATGACTTGTTTTAAATAATGCTTGAATTATTTCTACTAAAATCAAGTTGAATACTATACAAGTTTTTCTTAATTATCACTACCAAACTGTTCATCTTTTCCAGCGGTCATATCCGTCGGAAAATATAGTTTCCAGCGTATTTCCGACGGATTTTTGGTTTTCCGGTGGAAAATGGCCTTCGGAGGTTAGCCAACTTCTTTTTTGAATTTAATTTTAAAAAATCTTAATTAAGTTAAAAAAAATTATGAACAAGATTTTTTCGTCGGAAATACCCAGTTTTCTAATAATGTATTGGTGAGATGGCTATACAGAATTTCTTATTCTTACGATATTTTTAGGAATTAAATGTTAATTTTAAATCATTTTGACGATTTTTTAATAAAATAATATTTTGGTTTTAAATGTTTTCAAATTATCTTGACAAATTTTAATACCCACCATGTTACTTTTAAATGGTATTCGATACAATTATATGTGTTTTTTATAAATATAAAATGCATATAATTATATAACTTCGTTTATATTATTTTTCAGAAAATGATGATTAAATCTAAACTTGTAGTGAGCTTCACGGTTTTGATGTATGCTGATATAATCAGAGGCGGAACACAAATGGACTGGATCAACAATAGAGGAGGGGTTCAAAAGAATTTTATACTTAAAACCTTAATGGACTGGAGATGTCTTATTCTATCGGGAAACCCCCCCCCCCCCCCCCCAAACTTTCACTAAGTTAACTCTACCCGCACATAACATTATTTATAACTGTTGATGTACGTTTAAAGTAAAACACACAAGCTCGCATCAAAGTCTTAGAATGACGCTCGAAAGATTGATTGATCCACTAATGATATGAAGATAACCGATGACATCTAACATTCATATATTCAACCGATGGCTTCACAACCCTTAATTAAAGCGTTTTAAGTCAATCGATGGCTTATTTTACGAGCCCCAAATCAATGCACATTCTTCACCCAAAAAAATATTAAATTATATACGGTCTTAATGAATTACGGCCTATGTATGAATCTAATTCTTAGGTTCATAAAATTTGTAGCCTATATGCAAAATGAACCTAATGAGATGGATAATATCAACCTCACAAATAGTTTCAAACCCCACTTAGGGCAAAAATGGTCTTATTAAACAATTAGGGATTGCTTCTTAAATACTTGTTGCTTTAACATAAATCTTTGATTTCATAGGGTTTTTAAGAATATTAAAAGGTGTTTGGTTAGAGGTATTAAGCAGTAATCAATGTGAATGAAAATAAAAATAAAAAACTATTTGGTTTTTTATGATATAATGGACTCATTCCTCTCGAAGCACTAAAATTTCGTTACTGGTTAAATTATGAGGAATGAGAATTCATTTTCATCTTCGTTCACTGCCATTTTCATTTCTCAGCATGAATCAAACGGAATCATAACTTTACCTTGAGGTCTGATTCTGACTTACCCACAAACCCAGGTATGAAAATTTAAACCTGCCCGATTTAAGTTTCTGTTTACCATTCAATCCTTCTTTTTTCCTTTCGAAATCATGCAAATCCTAACTCCCTCAAGACTGTTGGTTATGGTTATCATACTTGTATAGATCGGCAAGAATGTGTTTTTTTTTTTTCTGGTTTATCACATGTATGCGATGTTTGAGATCATTGTGGAGCAGTTATTTTGACATCAAATTTTTTTTTTTTGACAAATATTCATATGCTTATTTGAGACAGTTTTACGATATTATTGTTAATGTAGGCATAAACGTGCACGAAAACTGTGAAGCTCGGGGCCTATAGGTGAAATCATCATTATGTAATACGAAGCTTATAGATTAATTTCAATAAGCTATCTTATATTTTTCGTTGTCTTTTAAGAAGAAATGGTAATTTTAAATCATTTTGACAAAATTTAATATTTAGCTTTTAAATATTTTCAAACTATTTATCTAAACTTTATTTATTAATGGCCATCATGTCAATATTTTTAACGATATTTTACATATTTAAGAAAACTACGATTTTCGTCCTTATGGTTTGTGAAACATTGCAATTTTCGCCCTTCCGGTTTTCGTTCATGTTGTTTGTAATTTGTTGTTGTTGTTGTTTTTGTCCTCCATAGTTTATAATTTATTACATTTTTAGTATTTTTGATTTATTACAAACCATAGGGACAAAAATAGCAATTTCAAAACCAAAGAGACGAAAAATCGCAAATTTTTCTCAAATCACAGGAACGAAAATCGTAGTTTACTTTAGATATTTTATTAATATTTAGAGTTTAAAAGGTTTACGGCTTAGAATGTAAGGGGTAGGGTTTAGGGTTTAGGGTTTATATTTTAAATAAAATATAATTTATATTACTTATTAAACCTATGGTTTGGTTGGTAGAACTTAGAAGTCCATCATAAATCTTAAAAAAAGTGTGTTCTTGACCTTTTGTAACTTCACCATTTAACTAATATGATTAGCTAAAGAAGAACGTAAAATGTCGTTATTTTCTCTTTGGATTCTTGTCCTATAAATTAATATGCATAGTTTAAATAATGTTTGAATTGTTTTTGTTAATATCTGAGGCGGGATCTGGAATTTTTTTAAGTGGTGATACAATTTGACTACAAAAAAATATGTAACGAATTTTTATGTCATATTAGTGTAGATCTATTGGTTGGTTTATTGTCCATACATAAAACATATCCTTGTTCGAATCATGTCTACGCATGTTTTTTAAAACACAAAAAACACCAAAATTTGAGCTAAAAAATAATAAATTCGAAAGTGGGACTCAATTAAACCTCGGCCATCTATGTCATTAAAGTCTTAACAATAAAAATTATAATAATTAAAAATTACAAGAAAAAAAATATTTTATTTATTTTATAGTTAACTAGAAGGGTACTTGAACAATGTAGCGAAATACATCTTGATTTTAATATTTCATTTTATTCTTTATCTCAGTCGATGTTATAATATGGTTTTATTTGATTTTGAGAAAGCGATGATGTTTTTATTTTTGAATAAAATATAAGTTTGAAGATATCATAAAAATTTGACAAAAATATATCGATATTAGTATCAAATTAACTATTTAAAATTCCTCATTTTTTTGTGT